GTTTTAAAAGATTACGGCCCTTTGAATAGCACTGTAACCAAACGAAACGCCGGACGACTCAACCGAAGTATGGTTCAGACAGTTGCGTTGGTTGCGTTCAAAGCAACCGAAACGACAGCAACGAACAAGTCACCGGACATGGCAAACAATCTAAAGGTAGCTTTGTGAAGCAATCATGAGTTATCGCTGTCGCGGTGTTCGGGTCGTTGCTGTCATTTCGGTCGCTGTGAACCCAACCGACCCAAACGTGTAAACCAGTCTTTAAGCACATCGTCATCATTTTCATAATCCTTATACGGCAGGACATCCACTCAGAGAATGGGTCAGTGAGTTCATCAGACCACAGTACCGAAGTCATGGCCACGCCGACTGACGCTGTGCAGATGGCACAACCGGGAACGCGGGTACCAGGACCTCCAAGACATGGCGGCACTCAGCGCATCGAACGTCCCGACAACAGTAATCTACCGCACAAGGTATACGCAGTGCGCATCGCGAAATCGTAAAATCGGGAGCGATAAAAAATACTGAATCAAACCGATGGATTCGGTTTTTGGAAGACTCACGGGATCTCAACTTTCTCGTGATTGTTTAGAGGGTATCAGATGACATTAATCGGTCATTTTGTAGTCCGATGCCAGCATGATGAAAGTGTAAGCTTCTGTGCACTCTGCACTTGAGGATGTCATGTGAACTCCTGGAATGCTTGCGTTTGGCACCGCGGCAGACAGCTCATTAAAACAAAATGATGAACGAAATTAAGACAGTGAATACACCCCTCGATTATTCATTTTTCCTACTAACTTTTTTTTTTTGCCTTACCGTAAAAAGGTTATTCGCTTTATCTGTATTTACTTTTTTTTAGAAACTGCAGGTCTTATGTGTTTATGCTAAAGTCTCTCGATAAAATTCACGCTCCGCCAACCATTGTTTTGGAAACGCGCAAGACACGTGCCACGAGCGGGTGTCCCGCCGCCATTCGCTTTTAAGGGCCGCTCATTTCAGTGTTACGCCGTCATTCGCTTCCAAGGACCGCTCGAGACACGGCCCTCGTGTGCTGGCGCATTTGACGTATACTTGCAAGACAAAGACAAACACATCGAGGGGATTTCGGCCAGTGGTTTGGGCAGAGAGCGCCCGTGCTCACCGCGACCGCTGTCTCGAGCCTCTCGCTTGAAACAGGTCATGGTCGCTCGTGAACCCATGCAACGCGAACATGGGTTTCATACCAGAACATCCGGGACCATATGGCTTCAAAAAAGGTGGACTTGGCAGGTGTGGCACGCTTGCGAACTTGGATTGTTTTTAACGGTACACTCCAAGGGTTTCTTACTTCGCCTTGTTTGTGCATGAGCTATACGTCCTGCCAATTATATCTCATAAAGAACGTACCATTAGATAGTAATGTTGCTTTCGACTAGCCTAGTCTAGTCTCTAGCCTTCGACAACACACATGTGCTAGCCTAGCCTAGTCTAGTCTCTAGCCCTCGACAACACACACGTGCTTGTCGAAGGCTAGATAGAGGAGGAATAATTACTGTCTTAAGTAGGCAACGTGAACTTGTGTTGTTCGTTCTGCGCAGCTGTTGCACTTACATTGACGCAGAAGCAGGGAATTAAACAGGTTTCTACATCTCTCTCTCTCTTTCTTCTCTCTCTCTCTCTCTCTCTCGCTCTCTGTTATCGCTGTAACACACGCAATAAGAATCTACCAAAAACTCGGAGCTGAATGAGGGTTAGGTCGCTAGAAAAAATATGAAACGAAACTAAAGTTATCGAGTGGCCGCAATCAGAAATTGATAATATTAGCGCGATTTCGCCTCCCACATTTTATGTCAGACGTATAGTGGAATTGGGTTTCTGCGTGTTCGGAGTTTATTTTCGAAGGAAAATCTTCGCGTCTTTCACGGAGTTATGGTGTCGTTACTCTTGGCCGTTCGACGATGAAACTTTTTTTCTTATTCCCACTTCCGGTGAACCGAAATTCGAATTTTTTTTACTTTTAATGCACCGACAATGATATTCTTAACAGTCCAGTGTTGTAGCTAAGACCGGGGTCCTGCAAGCTCTCAAGTACGATGAATATACTGCAGTATAGTTGTACAGGCAATAACCACCGGCACGCTAAAACGCAGGCAGGATCCTGGAACATACACTGCCTCTTTCGCAGCAACCCAACAGTTACGACTTATAAAAAAAAAGCTGCAAAAATCAACAGGCGATCATCGGAAATGGGAAATACAGACAGCTTAAAGGGATACTACAAAGAGATTTCGGCGCTTATTTTTTGGTCTATACGTGTACAAAGGAGCAGTATCACATCGGACACACCAATATCTTATTTTAAAAAAAAATACGCGAAAAGGAATATTAAAACAAATGAAACGATTAACAAAAAGCACCTGGTGGATGTCGCTAAAGCCTCGTTTGTAATGTCTGTCTAGGAACCTTGACAGGTAGGGGCGATAACTGTCTCACCTATAACTAATTATGCATGCTTTGAACCCGACATCATCCCGACAGCTTTACGGTCAGCACAAGAAAAAAGGGGAGGGAGGAACTCCTCACCTCACGGGACTCTTTTGTGTGTCCCAGACGGCGATATTCTCCCTCTGCAAGATTATAGAAGAGTAACCCGTCACTCAATATTCACACGAAATGAGCTTTGCGGTTAGTTGCGGCGGCCCGATCTGGGGTGTGGTTCAACCGCTTCGGTGGCTGGAACGGCTAGGACATCCTCTCGATGTCAGCCTTGCTGCAGCTTTGCTCATCCCGAGATAAACTACGTCACGATTGCGCCGGATGTGACGTGCTCTCCGCTGGCTGCTCTCCAAGAGCTTGCCAGAGTGGGCCGTTTATAACGAAAAATACAGCCATCAGGCTCAAAATACAAATGTGCGATTGTCATTTACGGATATTATGGATTATATTCAGCCTATTTCTGAACACTATAGTTATATATCAAATTTCAATGAAGTATCCCTTTAAAAATCTCGGTTGCAAACAAATCCGAATTGTACAAATGCGTGGTATACATATATACCAGCGATCGAGGGTTCGTAGGCTATTTTTATTTATTCGAGAATACAGAGCAGATGAACTCATACTAATCGATGCTGCCCTTCCCGTCTCCCGAACCACAAAAACAGAAAATCCAAGGCATCTTGTCTTCCTCCAAAGTCGGCTCGCCCACGCAGAGTTCTAGCAAGCCCCGACCGGTGATGATGGTTTCCAAGGCCATAGGGACAGGTAGGGATTTCCACTCCAGAGCGCATGTCACGTCCATAGAAAACAATAAATAGAGAAAATTAAGCTTTTAACATTTCTTTCAGTAGATCCCCCCCCTCTCCCCCCCCCCCCCCCTCCCCCAAAAAAAAAACCATTTTCTTTCTTTTTCCTCCTTTCTACGTTGTCGTTTTGTGCCTCCTGCTGCTCGTGCCCATGTCACCTAGAAGACAGTTAAGGTCTACGCAAATACGTCATTGTTTGTGGACCACCGATTGACCCGCCCCAACGTTACTAAAACACTCAGTTGGAAAACTCGCCGTCGAAACCTGGGCCGCTGGCGTCCACCGAGGCCGAACTAAATGCGACAACAGCGCCACTCTTTTTCGTTTGTCTGTACTATGGTCACCTCGAGCTTTTTGAAAGCCTGTTTTTTGCGTAAAAACAAACGGAAAAGACTTTTTTTGTATGAAATTTATTGGAGTTTAGTACCAAATGATGGGCGCGTGATGTTTTTATCATCTTTAGTTCGCAGGGTTTTGCGGAACAATTAGTATTGTTTTCATACAACCATGCATCAGCGGGCCTTTCAGGTAGCGCGTCCCGCCCTAGGTGCATTTTAACTTCAATAGTTGAACGCGGCGCGTCCGCCGGAGAGACGGATTCTCCTCACAGACGAGAAGATATTTACCGTCGAACTGCACCGAAATTCACAGAATAACGCGAACTGCTCCCCATAGGAGCTCCGCGGGTTGTCAACGCGGAAAACGTCTATTTTCCGAAGCCAGTTATGGTCTTGGCTGGGATATTCGGATTGGGCAAAACTACCAAACTGGTCTTTGTCCCCAAAGGAGCGAAAATTAATGGCGAAACTTACCGGGAGCTCATGGAATTACGTATTTTCTGAATTTTCTGCTCTTTTCAATGGTGCATGAAACAGACTCTTTGGTTAGCTGAATGAAAAGTTAAGGCTGTTTTTTTATGTTTTTTTCGCGGGACATTATTTTCCGATCACTCTTATACGCGTTTTCACCTCAAGGGAAAAAACAACAGAAAAAAAGTTTTAGCGCATTGTTTATACTTTGCGCATAGTATAGTTCTTGCAAGATATGATTTTCGAAGGGGGAAAAAAATACTTTTCGCGTCTGGAACGTGCACTTCTTGGTAAGGTAGCATATATCTAATCTCAAATTCACCTGCATATATCTTAATTATCGACGTAAAGGGGGAAATTAATAATACTCCTCGAGGAGCCGATCTTTTTAACTACGGTTGTTGAGGTGAAAACGGGCATAGATGGTATATTGCTCGTGCTCCAACTGCGCAATCAAGGTAACTTGATCGAAAGCACAGCCCTCATATGCGGCTGGCTGCTGGCTAACCCAAACCAGGATCCCGACTGAACCGCTAAATTTCCTCCCTCGACGGAGAATCCGGTTCCCGGTTCAATCCAAACCGGATTGCGGGTTGCGACTCTTGGACACCGCAAAAGACTTGCGATAGTTCTGTTATGTCACCGGGTGACGTGTTGCTGCTTCCGCCAGCTGCATTCGGAGTTGAATCTGTTTAAACTTTCGGAAACCCGCATCGACTGGACATGCTTGGCGAGGCCCGCAACGGGTAGCGGCGGGAGTCGCAAAGGCTGCGGTTTCCGGAACCCGTAAGCCGGATTGGCGCAAAACGAAGCCTTCCCGCATACGGAAGGTACCGCCGTTTAAAGCTGCCGACGACCGCGTATACAAAGATGTCAGCGCCCTGTTGCAGTGTCTCCCGGCATGGCGAGTCTGGGGTGGCGTTCCGGCGGCAACACTCCGGACGTCGGCCTGAGCGAGATGACGCTGGTGCTGGACGTGAACCCGTACGTGCGCTACCCGCTGGTCAGCTTCAACATCCTCTTCTGGCTGCTGGGTCTCGGCTTCATCTTCACGGGCGTCTACGCCTACTTCGACGCCTGGACCAATCCTCCCGCGTCCGGCAGGTTCAAGCTGGACTACAACATCTACAGGCACGTAGAGTCCTGCGCTTCATCGGCGCCTTTATCCGGTACTGCAAAATGCATCCTTACCAAAGCTACATTAGCAACCGTCGTGCGTATTAGCGGCGAGAAGTTATGGTGGCGCCCTCCTACGGTTCCCCCTTGTGACGTCATTACCTTGCAAACAACAAGTTCGACGGTGTTTGTAAATAGCGTGGTGGAAGCTTGAAATCATTGCGCTCTCAAAGGAACACTGCCAACACCGTCAACATTAAAGTTCTTTCATTCCTCTTATTTCCGTCGATGGTATACCCTTTCCGACGTCATAAGTCAGCGTTCGGCCAATTGTGGAAGGCCGACCACAGCGACGCTTTCGGTCGCGCTCGTCGCCAATAGGTACGACCTGGCAAAGTGGAAGCTATGCGGACCGCAAGTTCGTCTGCTTCTTTTGCAAGGTTTTTGGTGACGTCACACTGTCAAGCTCTGATTGGCTCGGATTGAAGGATAGTGGGTAGACCTCAAAGGACAAGCTGCCTCGAGGTCTACCCACTATCCTTCAGTTAGAACCAATCAGAGCTCGGCGTTTTTTTGACGTCACCGCACCTCTTGCGCAAAAAAGCAGACGACTTGCTCTCCGCATTGGTGACGTGCGCAACCAAAGTATTCACTGGACGCCATATTTGTGGGTGCTGTTTAGAGCGCATGCTAAGAACGAGCTCATATCAATAGGCTGCTAAGACAAGCACTCTTGATGGTGCGGAATGCACGTTGCAAAAGAACTGTGGAAGCTCGCCATCAGCACGCGCTCAGCATTCGCGCACACAGCTATGGCCGCCAGTGAATACTTGCTATATATAAAGATGTCTTGAGTTTGATGAACTCTATTTTTATTAATAGAGACAAGAGGAATGTCAGACTGTCCACTTTGACGGTGTTGGTTTTAGGACACGATGATCTCAAGCTTCCACCGTGCTTTTTTCACACACCGTCCAAAGTGTCGCTTGCAACTGATAATCCTTCTAGCGACGTTACAGGTGGGAAACACAAGAGGGAGCCACCGAAACGTCTCGTCGAGTCACTAACAAAGCAAAAACAGCAGAGCGGTTTTTTTTTTTTTTTTTTTTTTTTTCGAACGGCCGTTTTTTGAGCACGCGCTCGTTGCCTTCCGTGGTGCTTTGGCTGCGCGTGCACGCTCGAAGCTCACGAGACGCCGATGTAACATCGAAGGCGATACAGCTGAAATTCCTCCCCGCCGTCCTCATCTTGTCAGTGCTTCTGGACGATGCAATTTTCAGCGATTTCCTCGCTGGGGGAAGCGACGAACATGCCTGCGCTGGGCTGTGGGTTCCTAAGCATTAAAATGGGCGAACAGGAGATTGTACTTTGGTCAGCTACCAAACGCCTGCACCGTGAAAAAACTGGGCGTCTTCGCACGCGTCGCATGTCAACACGTTTTATGTGACACGACGCTCCTTCGCCTTTCGCTTCAATCTGCGCGTCGTAACCGCTTACCTACGGTTTTCTCGGCCGATAGTCAACGAGTTGATGAACTACGGGCGACGCAGCGTGATGCTGGTGAACATCGAGACGACGGTGACGGTGGTCGGCGTGGTCCTGGTGTCGGTGTCCTTTTGCGGCTGCGTGGGCGCCCTGCGCGAGAACACCTGCCTGCTGAGCACCTACTCGCACGTGGTGACGGCCCTGCTGCTGCTGAACCTCATCCTGGGCCTGCTGGTGTTCTTCCTGCCATCGCAGGTGAAGCGCACGCTCCGCTCCACGCTCAGCAGCAACCTCGTGCTCCACTACAGGGACAACCCGGACCTGCAGTGGATCATCGACAGCATCCAGGTGAAGGGCAGCTCTTGGGAGGCGAAACGCTGCTCCGCACATTTGTCTTTGGATGCGACCGAATGCGTCGCACGCGCTGGTAACCGCGCTCACGAAGAGGGAACTTTTTGCGCATTGTTCAAACGCCGCGCGAAATAGTTCTTACGATATGTGGTTGTCGGAGGAAGAAGCGATGTTTCTGGCCTTTGAAACATATGTCTTCGTAAGAAAATGAACATATAATCTAAAATGCGCCTACATATATGTTAATTCTCTACAAAAAAGGGGAAATTAGTAATGTTCCGAGAAGAGTGGGACTTTTATATCGTCACGTGGTGCAAAACCGACTTTCCGCCTGCAGTGTCTGCTATGTTCCATGGACGCCGCCATGTTTGTTTATGCTGACGCCATGACACAGGGGTGAGGGGGGGGGGGGGGGGGGGAATTGCGCTTTTTGCGAGACTCCGTTTTGTTAGAAACATTCGCACATATCAAGAGCGTCTGAAATGTATAGTCAACAACTTGATAGCCACGAAGCTCCAAGAACAACACCGATGACAAGACTGCTGTACTGAGTAGCGAAAATCTTGTTTTATGCGCAGTCTCTCTCTCATCAGAAGAGCTTGCGTTTGAAGTTATTATTTTACGTTTTGATCGCTTGGGGCTAGGATTTTGGATACTGGCAGGCGTCCGCCATTGAATTGCAAACGCTCCCCATGGTTTCAGATGTACCCTATCTGCAATCTAGAACACACTGGCACACTGGAGTCATCTATCATGTAACCATGGAACAGTTTATATCTGTGTATAACCGCATTTGTGTAGCTTTAACGTATTTTTTATTGTGTTTAAACGACCTGCAAAACCTATAAAAAAAAAAAACCTGTATATACGCAGAAGGAAAGTGTAATTCCACGGCAATCGGTAGATGATGCCAGTGTGTTCTCCTGTCTAAAGCACTGTATGAATTTGAATTTTATGACCAAGTACCGCCAAGCTGGTGCACGCTGGGACGCACTTGAGCCAAAAATGGCGGAGCGTCACCGCCAATCTAGTTTTGGCGGCGGCGCGGCGCCGGCGTCCACAATAGACCAATGGGAGCGTGCTCTCAAACAGCGGCGCGTCACCGGCAGCCACAGCCGACTCATAAGAGCGTTCGCGTCTGGAGGTGGAATGCGCCATAAGAAAAAACTGGCGACGCGTTGTCGACATCCACTAGAAGCACCCGCGGCACAATCAAACGATGGTGGTATACTTAGATAAGTCAGACTAACTGTATATGTTACGCTTGCAGTTACTCTACTCCTGTCTAAACTCTTTACTCGTAGTGTTAGAGGAGAATTATAGATAAATGACGTGGTGGATGGGACTCTCTCCAGGCGAACGCCGACGTAGCGTTCGGCTAAGTCAGCCAAGCTCCGCCTCAGGAACACAAACAAATATTTTATGTTGTGGTTGAGTACCTGACGGGAAGAAGAGTCAGTTACAGCCCAAATTTGTCTTTGAACGAGTGTCAGTTCAATTGGCGACGTTCCCGGACAGAAGTTGCGGTTCCGGTGGTTTCGGCGGATCCATCGTTTCTTCCAATTATACGATGAGACGTGGTCCTTGCTTCGAACTACCGCCGATGCGCATGGCATATCCCACATCCGACACCAGTCGGGAAGTGTCGAGCCAACAACAGCGTAGTGAGCGCCTCAGCTGGTATCGCTGCCAGGCACACGTGTCACACCGCGGGTTTAGTTGTGAACTTAGCCGCTAGGGGCGCGACAATTGAATCTCCTCACCGATGGGCTTAAAGATTCGCGGGACCTTCTAGCGGTGTGTCCTTATGGCTCGCAGGAAGACCTCAAGTGCTGCGGCCTGTCGGACAAGAGCTTCCGCGACTGGAACGACAACATGTATTTCAACTGCTCCCGTTCCAACCCGAGCTACGAACGCTGCTCGGTGCCTCACTCCTGTTGCAAGCGCAACGACTCCCATCAAGTAAGACTCCCCACAGAAATCAGTTCGTCCGCGCATTTCCCCGTGAAATTTAGCAGGTGAACAGACGTCTTGGTGTCATGTGTCACGTGATACCACGACATCATGTGACGTCATTGCATCACGTGGTGGGTAACGTGGTGGTGGCTAAATACGCTACACTTTCAGAGTACCGCATTCCTTTTCTTTGGCATTTTGCCGACAATACAGTCGCTCTATTCGACAATATTCTGGTTCACTGCGGCATCATTGGACAGCGGCAGTCATGTGAGTCGCTATCATCATCATCGCGTTTTTTCAACACCACCGCCTTGGGTCCAGCGATCCGCTGCCTGCTGGTGTTTTACTGTTTACTGCGCGCGCGCGCAGTAAACTCAGTATTTTATGCACATCTACATTCTCCTCCCTGATACTTCGCCCTGAATGGTCTTTCTTGTGCACTGGGGCTTTCCTGGGGCTTCCCAATATCAGTTCTAGCTCGAGAACGGACATTCACCAGAGACTGTACATACAAACGGGTTGACCTCAGTTCCTACAACTCCGCATTTTTTTAAGATGCAAATTTTAATTGGTCATCTTAGAAGAAGAAAAAAAAAAAGCGTGCCGGAGGGAAAGGGGGGGGGGGGGAACTTGTGGAAGAATAGTAACGACTTGAAGTATTTTTATTACTTGAAAAAGTTGTCAGATTACTCTTGTGAACTGCCTAACAAAAGTAATGAACTGATTACATAATTACTTCAAAAAGTAATCGATTACAAGTATTTTGATTACTTGTAATGGGTAATGTACAAGTCTGAAGAGGACCCAGGACCTCCCTGCACCAGTGCCGCACGAACACGGGAGCAGTGGAGTTGTCAACAAGTTGTGCGCTTCGAGGTACTTGTACGCTTTAGCCTGCTAAGCGAACAAGGTACTTTTTAATGTCAATAAACTCGTTCGGAAACCGTAAATATTTTATAATTGTTAGTTCATGACAGCAAGCGGTTCCGAAAGAGTAGACGCGTTATAAGTTCGGCTTCAGGGCACTGCCATCTTGCTCGACTGGGGTGCGCTTGGACGAGTCATAATCCGATTACGAAGCCTTGCTAAGGCGTCGTAATCGGATTATGACCGCGCCCAAGAGCGCACTTCACTGAGGAAGATGGCGGCGCCCTGAGACCGGACTTACAAACGTGTATACACGAACTCATTTCTGTTACGTCACACCGCGGTGGTGGCGCGTCGGACGCACTTCCGGTCCGGGGCTGTGGGCGGAAGTGCCCATGTGAGACGTGTATTCCTGCGTTGTTTTGAAAGGAACCAGACAAAAACCTGCCTTCTCGTCAAAATGCTGCGACTGGGGCTGTACCAGAAGTGTCGAAAAAGATTTGAAGGTCAGTTTTCATGCGCTCGGTTCGTCCGAGAACGCGGATGTGTGCCGTGAAAAGGGAAAACCAGACGCCGTCGGACCACGATTGCTTGGGCGGGAAGTATTTTGGGTTGAATTCACGGATACTTCTGGTCATCAAATTTATTTTTTTGTTTTAAAATGAGCGCCGGAAAATCGTCAAGTTGTACGCTGGTTGTACGGACCACGTGCGGACTACGTTCAGTGCGTCTTCAAGTTCAAACGGCCGCCTGATCGTTCGAACTGTCGTCTGCTCTTTCAAACGTTTCTGCTTGTCGTCTGCTGCTTTAGAGGACACCGGCCCGTAGACCAAACGTGGGCCTGGTACTTGCGATAAGAAGTAAGTGCAGGCCTCAAAAGTCTTAAAGGGACCATGAAATGACTTTTTTACTTTTTCCAGATAACTTTTACATTAAACCGTCAATGTTCACTGAATGCCGAACAGGCATCCGTTTTCGTCTCGGTTTATTAACCACAAAAAATTAATGAAATATCGACTTTTTCTTGACCGCAAAACAAGCCGTGACGTACGCTATTTCCGGAACCGGAACTTCTCTCGGCAGTAGGAGATGGGAGCATTAGCGGCGACGAGTTGGGGTGCGCCGGTAGGTTTTACTGTATTCGCGCTGTTGGTAAGCGCTTCGGGACCGATCTTTTACGATTGCAACTCGATACTGACGCGACACTCGGCACAGAAAGGTTGGACCGGTATTGCACGTATACCTCTCACGAACTGTTACAGCTCGACAGTGACGTGCAGTCTGTCAGGATAAAAATGGCATACCAATAACAAAGTGTACATACCGTGTTACGAGGGTAATCCATACAGCGTTTATTTCAGCTCTATATCACACAAAACAAGAAGAGAGAATCGACGAGGGTCCCTTTTCGACGAGTGTTCGTCAACACTGCCTCGGAAAACAAGGGGAAGAGATTGACCTCACCTCTTAACGTAAAATTGAGGTCAGCGATCAAACTATTATACGGGAAGGGTCCACAAGGGTACCCCACAAGGGTAGCGCGGGCATATTCCATTCAGCACGCCAGCCGGTCGCAGGCAGACAGACGGTCTTGCGACGAAGCAACGCTGCGCCGAGTCGGAGTGCCTGCTAGGCCTATATTCTGAGAGCATCGTCGGAGCGCGATTCGCGGCTGTTGTCGCTCATTTCGGGTGTTTGTGGATCCAGCGTTCTTGTTCGTCGTGGTCTGTTTTAAGTACATTTTTTTTCTTGCTGCTTGAAGTCGGCACGCGCGAGATGAACACGTAGAAAAATAAACGTTCAGTCAGTCAGAGTTTTGAGAGGAAGGCCCTGCCAGCCGGCAGTCGGCCTTGCCAGCCCTGCCCTACTGCGCACGCGCAGTAGTTGCTTCGTTTAGCACACGATAGATGGCGCGTGGCTCTCAGCATTATCAAATTTGGCAATTTTCGCCACACATCTCTAATTATGCTACAAAATGTGGGTCTGAATATTATTTAACAAAACTTTTAGGAAACATTCGCCGGCTATTTATTGTTTACGATCGCGGTGCTGGTGAGGTAGGCTCTTACCCAATAGGCGACGTGGATTCGGCTGACGTGCTCCATTTCTGCGGATGCATCGTAGTGAAAAGGCAGAGCTTTTGAAGGAAAGAAGTCGCAAAAGAGTCCAGTTTTCTTTTAAAAGTTCTATAGCAAATAATTTTTTTTGGCTCCCTAGTTTTGTGCTTTTGTGTTTCTTTTCACACCTTTTACGACGTGCGGTGGATGAAATTAGATTTTAAAATCATTTCATGGTCCCTTTAAGTTTGAAGGCTGGTAAGCAGGCTGGTTGTAAACAGTAGATGCAAGGAGATGTTGATCATTGTTTCCAGTGGCCATCACCGACTTGTTATGCCTGATTCTCTTGGTTAGATTCCGCTTGCAATTTTCAGTATCGACGTCGACATCTCAGCTACGGTTCACGCTTTTGCAGTCCGAGCGACGTCGTTACTGAAAATTGCGAGCGAAATCTCATCATGTGAATCAGGCTTTAGCGTACATTCTGCGGCGTCCACGCGGAATGAATCGCCGCATGTGAAGTTTTGCGGTGTAACGAGCCTCGGTAATTTCGCTGACGCCGCTCAAGTAGTCAGACATCGTTAGGAGGACGTAGAATCAACAATTTCAACGCCAAAAAGAGCGCGGGGACTCACACCGACGCCGACAACATCGCATTTCAATGGTTTGTTTATGGGCGACGGCGAGCTTCTTGCCCACACACCCATCGCGCATGCGCGGGGCCGGTGGCGCCCGCTAGGGGCGCTCCGGGCGTTCCGGTTTGTTTGTAAACATGAGTTGGTGTATACTCGTTCGGAAACCGCATGCTGTCACAAACTAACAATTAGAAAGTATTTACGAAGAGTCTATCCTTCGTTTCAGCTTCCATCCGAGCGCAGCGAAAGGCTGAGGGACGGTTCGCAACTTCGAGAAGAGCATTCCTTCGCACCACAAAGTAGTCCGCAAAAGTAATTTTTTTTTTTATAACTATTTCGTGCGTAAACATTGCACAATAATCCAGATGTGTACTGCTGAGAATGATTTGGAACTAAAGGAATTAAGTATATGAAGTTTATGTTTTTATAAATATATGCAAACGCATGTGGTTTGGTGAAAACACGTACATCCGCTGGCAACATGGCTGCAGCGCTCGGTTTTTCTGTGTGATTCCGTTCCTGTAATGGCCGAATCATGTGCTTCGCTGCTTTTCTCACCGAATCGCTTCAAAACGTCCTTTCGCAAAGGCATGTTTGGGCGTCAGGCGCGAGAGGTCGTGATAAATGTCTACATTCAAATTTGGCAGGAGGCTCTGACCGCGTCGTACCGCGAGTGCGTTATAAACAAGAAAAATGTCCTTGCCACTACAATTCACTGATGCGCGGCGAAATCAGGTCACCCCTTTACCTGCCGATGACATTGATCGCCGAGAATCTGGTGGAAAGGACTGCGCCTCGAGCCCTGGTATATCCAGACAATACAAGGAACATCAACGGCCGGGTCATCGGGCACCTTTCCATGTGTACTTTCATCTCTAAACTACGCCGGACCGAACAGGTGGAAAGCTCGGACACAGACGCCAGCGGCCAGCCTACGTACTGGCGTCCCCTGTCACTAAATTTCAGAACGTGAAAGGGCACTTTCTAAACCTGTTGCAGACGATAGCGTTCCCGTACGAAAATGTCAGATACAGGCCGGAATGAAAAATACCGGTTCCTGCTAGACCCAAAATTGGGGCACCAGTTTGTATCCAGCCTGGAATCGCGCAGTTCCAGACGGGATACAGATCTAGTGCCCCAATTTTGGATCCAGGCGGAACCAGCTGGTTCCAGTGGTTCTGCAGAACCACTAGTACCAACCGGTGCCCCAATTTCAGACCCAGGTGTTGCGCCGCCGGAATTCCCGCTGCGCTCACTACTGGACTCTACAAAAGTATTTCGTGCGATTCCCTTACAAGCCAGATCGTCGCGATTTCAGAAGAAGGGGGGAGGGGGGGCAGGGGGGGCGTCCGGCCCCTCTAATCATCTAGAAGGGGGGGGGGGGGGGGCGCAAAGTTGGCCTGACTCGGGGCGCGACTGCGCCGGCGGTGTGGTTTCTTTTTCG